CGCGCAGCGGCAGTGGTGATCCCGACGACATCGCCTCCTTTCTCCTTGAAACCTCCACCGTCTCATCCGATTCGTCCCCTTCCGCCGCGGGCGGCGGATCAGCCGCGGGGGAATGCGGCGGATCTTCCGGAGCGCTACTTTCACCCGCTGCCGCTGGCGGCGGCGGCGGTGGCGACGCAGGTGGGATGGAGGAGGAATTTACCGAGCGCGCGATTGCCGCAGCGGCTCCTGTTGCTGCTCCTGCTGCTGCTACTGCTGCTGCTGCGCCCGTTAGGCGGAAGCGCGACGCGCTCATGACGCGCCTGGTGGGGTTCCGCGGCGGCAAGAGCTGGGCGTCTGTGGATGACCCTTCGTTAGGAGTCGCCGCCGCCGCCGCCGCCGCTGCTGCTGCTGCTTCTGCTGCTGGCGGTGGTGGTGCGGATGGTGGTGTGGGTGCCGGTGGTGGTTCCATGGCGGGTTTTTCTGGTCGGGATCGTGCGTTGTCGGAGAGGGTGGGAGGAGGGATCAAGGGCAGTTTTTCCTTGGAGCATGAAACGGCTGACGAGCAGTCAGGGCATGGCGCAATGGTTGGAGCGGGAAGGGGAGGAGCTAATATAGCATCAGGCAGGCAAATGCTTTCGGAGAATCTGCAGCAGCAGGCGGAAGCGGACGGGGAGGCGCAGGCGCAGGCGCATGCGCGGAGCATATTCCGCAAGCCGCCCCCCATAATGGCTGCGCGGATGCTGGCGGCGGAGCGCGGCGCAGGCCACGCGCGCGCAGCTAGCGCGGACCTCTCTGCGCACTTCGCTACAGCTTCCGCTGGGGGTGCGGGTGGGGGCGCGGGCGTTGGTGCTGCTGTTGGCTCCGCGAGCGGGGGGGCTTTGTCTTGGGGAGCGGGGGCGGCGGAGGAAGGGGGGCGCAGCGGGCGCATCTCCCGCGTTTTCAGGCGGTTAGGGCTGGGGAGCGGACGCGCGTCCCCGGTGGGTGCGAGTGGGCTTGGGGGGGCGAGCAGCGGGAGGGCGGAATTGGGGGGCGAGGGGGGCGCGGGAGGCGGGTTTGGTAAGAGCTTTTATGATACACCGTTGCCTCTATCAGAGGATAGAAAACGGCTGCATAGGCCGTCTACTGCTGCTGCTGGTGGTGTGATTGAAAGTAGGGAGGTTGGCATGAGGAGAGATGAAGCAGATACGACGAGGAAAGACGAGGAGGGAGAAGAAAGGGAGTGTGGGGCCGAGGGTGGGGAAGAGGAGGATGGGGGGGAGGAGTGGGAGGAAGAGGGGGAGGAGGAGGAGGGCAGGAGGGAAGGAGTGAGCACAGAGGAGATGCATCAGGGGTTGTTGCTGGGAGGCTTGCGTGGTGAAGGCGCTAGCTCTTCTGCCTTCAATCGCAGTCCCAGCCGTTCCCCTGTGGCGGCGTCCCCTCACAATGCACCACCTGCATCTGCTGCATCGCGTTTCGCGCCAGGAGAAGCACAGAACGCCACTCCCGCAGCAGCAACTGATGGAAGCACAGCAACAGCAGAACTCGCACCTGCACCTTCAGCACGAGCAGGGGCAGCAGCAGGAGGCGCAGCAGCAGCAGGGGCGGGGGCGTGGGCGGTGGGGCAGGAGATAGAGGTGGACGTTGTGGGGGAGGACGGGCGCAGCAGCACCATCCCCGCGCGCCTGGTGGAAGCCACAGTGGTGCAGAACGGTGCAGGGGGGCGGCGAGTGATGGGAAAGATTGTGCTGGCAACAGGGGAGGTGATGATGGTGGCGGTGGAAGAGGAGGACGGGGAGGGGGAGGGGGAGGGGGAGGGGGAGCGCGGAGGCGCGCCCATGGCGCAGCCTGTGGGGAAGGGGGACGGGGGAGACGGAGGAGGCGGGGGGAACGGGGTAGAAGGGGGAGATGGGGGGCGCGGGGGAGAGATGGTGGCTTGGGGAGGATCGGGAACGGGGGTAGGGAGAGCGATTGTAACTGGCGTTTGTGCAGAGGAGTTGGGAGCGGTAAGAGTGGGTGGTGGGAGTGAGAGCTTGGGTGATAGACTTGGTGGGCGGAGGGAGGAGAAGACAGGGGGGAGGGATAAGGAGAGGGAGAGGAAGAAGGAGAAGGATAAAGGAAAGGAGACGGAGGGTGGGAGTGAGAAGGGGAAGGATCGAGCGTTGAGGGAGGTTCTGGAAATGTCCAAGGGGATTGGACGGTCCAGATCGAGCATGGCAGAGCTGATCAAACGGGTGAGCAAGGACGGAGGGTGTAGCAGTTCGGACGAGCAGGAGGGGGAAGGGGCAGGGGGGTCGCAGGGAGGGGGGAGAAAAGAAAGGCTGAGAACGGAAGAGGGGAGAAAGGAAGTGGGGAAAAAGGAAGGGGGCATGGGTGTGGGAGTGGGCGTGGGGAAGGTGAAGGATGCATTGAGAAAGGAACGAAGCAGCAGGCTAGGGCGTTCACAGTCAAATGTTGGTGAGTTAGGTAGGGGTGGTGCGGTGGAAGGGGAGGGGGGGGTGGGGAGGACGCGAGAAGGCGTGGGGGAGAAGCGGCGGGGGTCAAGGCTACGGGGGACGTCCCAGGGTGGTATGTCCTGGGGTGGTGCTGCTGATGGCGCTGCTGGTGTGGGTGGTGGTGGGGGTGGGATTGGCAGTGGTGGTGGCAGTGGTGGTAATGGTGGTGGTGATGCTGCTGCAGGTGGTGCAGGGATGGGAAGCAAAGAGGTGGATGCATTTATTGCTGGGAAGAGCGTGACACTGCCGCTGTTGCGGGAGAGGGAGAGGGGGATGAAGGCAGATGGGGGGGAGAGCGGTGGGGAGAAATCGGGTAGGACTGGTGCAGGGCTGGTTGTGAAGAGACATGGCTCGGATAAGAAGGAGAGGAGGCGAGGAGGTGAGGGGGAGAGGGAGAAAGGAAGGAAGGATGAGAAGGAGCGGACGAAGCTGGGCAGGTCTCAGTCCGTGGAGGTAGGGGCGGTAGGGGCGGTTCATACAGGGAAAGGGAAGACACACGGGCAAGAGGAGAAGGAGAAGGGGAGGGAGAGGAAGAGGGAGAGGGAGAGAGGGAGAGGGAGAGAGGGAGAGAGCCAAGAAAGTCGAAAGATGAGAAGGGGAGTGGGGTGGAGAGAGCAGAGAAGGGTGGAGAGGAGAAAGGGGAAGTGGGAGGTGAGAAGGAAGAGGAGAAGGAGAGGCGAGTGCGCGAGAGAAAGGAGCGGGGGAAACGAGACAAGGAGAAGGAAGGAGGGGAGGAGAGGAGGAAAGGGGGAGGGGAGCGAGGCACTGTAGGTGAGAAGGGAGGGGAGGAGGGCGCGGATGGTGGGCAGGGGGAGAAGAAGAAGAAAGAGAGGAGAAGCAGGAGCAGCATGCTGGTACGGGATGGATCGGGCACTGATTCGGATCGTGGGAGTGGTAAGGAGCGGCGTCGCTCTAGCTTGAAAGAGAGGGATAAGCAGCAGCAACACTGGCAAAATCTTCATCATCAGCTTCAGCAGCAGCATCAGAAGGGGGGGTAGAGGGAGATGTGTCTGGGAAGGCCAAGTCGAAGCGCAAGGAGGGGTTATGCAGCTCAAGTGGGAAGAGCAGGGAGAAGAAGGCGGGAGGCGAAAGGGGAGCGCGGAGCACAGGGAGCGGCAAGCAACGGGAGAAGAAAAAATTATCATCAGCAGCAGCAACAGCAGCAGCAGCAGGAGAAGGAGCAGCGGCAGGAGCGGGAGCAGGAGCCACAGCAGCAACCGCAGCAACCGCAGGTGCAGCAGCAGCAGCAGCAGCAGCAGCAGCAGTGGCAGCAGCAGCAGTGTGCCAAGCCCTGCGGAGTTCATGGCGCAGATGGGCGTGCCTGAGGAAGTCATGGCCCACATGGTGGCTGTGGAGCCGTTACTCCTCCCTGCAGGGGACGAGCTTGCGTTGGGCTTTGGCATGGGCATGGGCGTTGGAATGGGAATGGAGGGGTGGTCCCCGCACAGCAGCGAGGGGACAGAGGGAAGCAGGCACGGGTCGGAACAAGGGGGGGTTGCAGGGGGGTGGGGAGGGGCAGGGGGAGGGGCAGGGGGAGCAGGAGAAGGGGAGAATCCAGAGGACGTTGCAGCGAGCATGCGAAGGGCGTGGGTGAGAGGCGCAGGAGGGGGTTCTAGGCTGAGTATCCAGCAGCGGGAGCGGAGACGAGCTCACAGCCGCTCGCAAAAGGACGCAGCATGGTCCTTCCCTGCCATGCCTGACCTTGAAGCTGCTGCTGCGCGCCTGGTGAGTGGGCCTCAGGAAGGGGAGGAGGGGGATGAGGGGGAGGAAGAGGTGCTTCCCCCGCTGCCCGAGGGAGACGCGGAATTGGCAGCGGCGGCGGCGGCTGTAAGGGCTGCGGCTGGGGTGAGAGATGGTGAGGAGAGCGAGAGTGAGAGTGAGGGGGAGGGGGAGGAGGAGGAGGAGGAGGAGGAGGAGGAAGGGAGGAGGGTTGGGGACGGGATCATTAGCCCGTTGGCCAGTCCTATCGGGAGTTCTGCTGATCGTGCTGCGGGGAGAAGAGGTGGTGGAGAAGAAGAGGAGGAGGAGGAGGAAGAGGAGGAGGAGGATGAGGAGGAGGATGAGGAGGAGGAGGAGGAGGAGGCAACTATGCCTCCGTCCCTTGGCCGCACAGATTCTTCTACTGTCGGTGTCGCTCTTATCTCCACCACCACCACCACCACCACCACCACTGCTCCCACCATTCCACTCCCTGCAGGTTCACCAGCAGGCAAATCAGCAGGCAGATCAGCAGCGGCAGCAGCAGTAGCAGCAGGAATGGGTGTGCCTCCTCTCCACTCCCCCGTGCTGAGACCGTCCGCGGCAGCAGCATCAGCGTCTGTCATTGCTGCTGCTGCTGCAGCCGCTGCAGACGCCCGCTCGCGCACGCCTCTCCGCGTCGCCATAGCGTCCCGCCAGGGCGCTGCTTCTGCCCGCTCTGCAGCTGCTGCTGCTGCCGCTGCTGCTGCTGCTGGTGCTGCTGGTGCGGGTGCCGGGGCTGCTGGTGGTGCTGGGGGTGTGAAGCAGGGGGGGATGCTGTGGCAGCGCAGGAGCACGAGTTTTGGGGCTATGGAGCTAGAATCTCTAATGACTGGAAGAGGCAAGGATCCGTGGGGTATGGGTTATGCGGGCCCTCTCAGTTCTGGCGCTAAGGCTGTTGCAAGCGCTGTTGCTGCTGCTGCTGGCGCTGGCGCTGGTGGTGTTTTTGCAATAAGGCCGCGATCGCCGCTGCAGCAGCGCAAGAGAGTGATGACAGAGGATGATGTGTTGCCTGGGGGCGGGCCTGTGCGTTTGGCAGCAGCGGGGGCAGCAGCAGGAGCAGCAGCGGGAGCTTCAGTGGGAGCAGCAGTGGGAGCGGCAGCATTGGTAACGACACCAGGAGCTGAGAAAGCAGGTAGAGGAGGTGGAGGAGGAGGAGGAGGAGGAGGAGGAGGAGGAGGAGGAGGAGGAGGAGGAGGAGGAGGAGGAGGAGGAGGAGGAGGAGGAGGAGGAGGAGGAGGAGGAGGAGGAGGAGGAGGAGGAGGAGGAGGAGGAGGAGGAGGAAGAGGAAGAGGAAGAGAAGGGGAAAGAGCGGGAGGAAGGGGAGACGGAGTGGGGATGGAGAGACCAGTTGTGGGGAGAGCTGCTGTGTCAGAAGACAGTAGCTCCCTGCTTGCTTCTGCTGCTGCTGCAGCCGCTGCTGCCTTTGCTGCTTCTGCTGGTGTTGGTGGTCTGAGAGGCCCCAGCCCCGCTCGCATGCGGCCACCTGTCCCGCCCAGCACTGCTGCTGCTGCTGCTGCTTCCCCTGCTGCTGCTGCTGCTCCTGCTGCGGCTGCTTCTCCTGCTGCTGCTGCTGCTGCTGCTTCGCCTGCTGCTGCTGCTCATGGTGGTGCTGTTGCAGGGGCGGACGAACAAGAGGCAGGGGGCAGTGTGCTGGGACGTGTTGCATCGTTAAGTGAGGCATGGCCTGTGAGAGGGGCAGTGAAGGCGGTGGAAAGGGAACAGGACGGGGCAGGAGAGGAGGAGCGAGGTGATGTCTGGCAAGGGAATAATGAAGATGCTTTTGCTACTGCTACTGCTGCTCCTTCTGTTGCTGCTGCTGCTGCTGCTGCGGATGCACAGCAGTTGTTGCAGCAGGAACGGGAGCAGGAGTGGGAGCAGGAGAACCAGCAGGAGCGGGAGCAGGAGCAGGAGAAGCAGCAAGGTAAGCAGCAGCAGCAGCAGCTTGTCTCGGGGCAGGCGAGTGTGCAGCAGCGGGCGCAGCACTCAGTACTGGCACGGGTGATGTCTGAAGATGATGGGGTGCCACGCAGCGACTCTGTGGTCATTCATGAGTTCAGCTGTGATGACAAGGAGTCCGATGGGGGAGGGATGGAGAGAGAGGAGGGCACGGAGGGCGAGGAGGCGGAGGAGGAGGGAGAGAGAGAGAGTGAAGGACGGGAGAAGGAAGGAGTGGGAGGATGTGGAGGAGGAGGTGGTGAGTGAGGAGGGTGGGTTGGGTGTGAGGGGAGGAAGGGTGGGAAAGTCGGTGCGATGGAGTGAGGTGAAGCAGGAGGGCAATGCTCACTTGGAAATTTCTGAGGAGGATGACGTAGAAGCAGATGGGGAGGAGGAGACTGATACTGACAGGGCAGAGGAGGAGACAGAAGATGAAGATGATTTGGAAGAGGAAGACGAGGAGGAGGATGAAATCGTCGATGAGATGATGTTTGTGCGATCTCTCTCCACGATCCGACGGCCGGAAATCGTGCGGCGGCTCAGCAGCGTGCGCACAATGGGAGCGGCAGCAGCAGCAGCAGCAACGAGCCGCGAGTTTGGCATCATAGGCATGGCACGCTCAGCTGCACAGTCCTGCCAGGAGCACTGGTCCCGCCTCTTCCTTCGATACTTAGAACTCTCCTCCAGCTGCCCTCACATGCTGCTGCCGGTGGAGTGAACGTGAACACCGGTAGTGCTGCTGCTCGGGAGCCTGTGCCGCAGCCTCGGTCGCTGTCGGGGCTGTTTGCTTCGGACGAGGGCGAGTGGCTCGGGAGCGCCGTGCCTGTGGTTCGGAGCGCGCAGAGCAACCCGAACTGGACGGCAGCTTCGGCTTTAAGAGAATACGAGTGGGTGAAGAGGAAATTCCAGGGTGCGTGCGGCAGCTGCGAGCAATTCTCTGAAAGTCAGGTGCGACAGCTGTTCGCTTGTGGGCTAGCTGTGTGGATCAAGTACTGGGAGCAGTGGGGGGAGGAGAAGCCGGATTGGGCGTATGAGCTGGAAGAGTGGTATGGTGGGGAGGAGGGCGAGGAGGGGGGTGAAGGCGAGGAACACGAGGAGGGCGAGGAGATGGGGGGCAACAGGCGACAGCAGCAGCAGCAGCAGCAGCAGCGGCCGAAGGGAATCGGCGCGCGTCCTTCTTCTCCTCCTCCTTTGCTCAATCCCTGCGCCGCCACGGCACCTTAGGCCGCAGCTCAGCCGCCCTCACTGCTCCCACCGGTCCCGCTGGCAGTGCTGCCCCCATGCCCTCTCCCGTAGAGGCCCGGTGGGGATCGCAAGGCTCTCTGCAGTACAGACTCGCCAAGGAGGCTCTATCAGGGACTGGGGCAGCGGCAGGATCAGGAGGGGGAGCAGGAGGAGGGGGAGGGGGAGGAGGAGGAGGAGGAGGAGGAGGGGGAGGAGGAGGGGTACCTGCAGGGGATGGTATGCAGGCAGGATGAGGTAGTGTTGCTGGTGGGTCTCGCTGCGTCTATATCTGCTTGGCAGCCCGCCACAGCGTGCATGTGCCTGCTGCACCTGCTCGACCGCCTCTCGTTTCTTGAATCCGCTGCCCGCGCTGCCGAGGCTGCTGCTGCCGCCGCCGCTGCTGCCGGTTTGGGAAATGTAAGGACAGCAGCTGCTGCTGCTGCTGCTGCTGCTGCTTCTGCGGCTCCGGTTGCTGCTCCTGCTGTGGTTCCCGCAGGTGTGGCTGGTCAGCAGCAGGCGCTGCTGCTATCCTCCCCTCGCTCGTCTTCTCGATTTGGGAGGAGCGGGGACAGCCAGCCCACGTCTCCCTCGTTCAGCCAGGTGCAAAGGGAGGGCACTGCTGCTGCTGCTGCTGCTGCTGCAGAGTGGAAACCAGCAGCAGCAGCAGCAACAGCAGCAGCACCACCACCACCACGAGCAGGGAGCGAGTCACAAGCGGCGCTTCTCTCTTGCGATAGGCTCCGCTCTCCTCGGCTCGGCCTTCTCAAGCTTCCAACACTCAGGCTCTGCTTCTCCTGCTGCCGCCGCCGCCGCCGCCACCGCCGCTGGTTCTGGTTCCGTCTCACTGAATATTGCCAGCTCTGCTGCTGCAGCTGCTGTTGCTAGAGTGAGTGGTATCCAAATCACCACTGCCAGCTCCAGCAGCACCAGCACCACTTTCCCTCCTAGCGCATGTGGCAGCGGTAGCAGCACCAGCGGCTCCGTCCCCCCTTCTCCAAGCGGCTCCTTCTCCCAAGACGCATCTCTTGACTCCCCCCACCTCTCTGTATCTAGCATGCCTGCTCTCTCTGACCTCCTCCCCTCCGCCCATCTCGCCTCCTGCCGTGCGCTGGTCATTAGCTGCCTCAGATCCGTGCTCACTGCTTGCTTCGACCGCGCTGCTGCTAGCGGGGCTTTGGGAGGAGGCGGGGAGGATGGTGGGGGAGCGGGAATGGGAAGGTCGGGGTCGAGACATGAGCTGGTGATGCAGGCGCTGCTGAAGCAGCAGCAGGAGCAGCAGCAGCAGGAGGAGATTCAGAGGAAGCAGCGTGCGGAGCAGGGGCAGGGGCAGGGGCAGGGGCAGGGGCAGGGGTGCCCGAGAAAGGGCAGGGAGAGCAGCCCAATTGTGATGATCAGCAGAAGGACCAACCACAATCAAGACCACAACCACAATCACAGCTGCAGCCACCGCAGCAGCAGGCCCCTTCACCAGCAGCAGCAGCACCCGCAGCAGCACCACCAACAGCAGCGGCATGGGCGCCACTCCCACTCTCAGCCCTTTCCGAGATCGCTCTAGCAGAAGGCATAGCGCAGGCCAGGCACAGCAACCTAGCAGAGCGATGCGAGGAGATAGACCGACTCTACTACTCCTTCGGCTTTGGCCCTGGCCTCCTAGCCATGAACCTCGCAGTGGAAACCCGGTCCCTCAGACACCTCTCTCCAGAGGACTTGCTTGGCATTGCACGGCACTGCGTGCGCATGGGCCTTCACGAAGCTGCGTTCAGGTTCGGCATGGCCGCCGTAGCGACCGGCAGGCTCGGGGTCGACGGGTTCGGGCAGGTGATCTCGATGGTGTTTCTCGGGCGAGGGGTGGAGTCGGTTTCAGCGCGGTTCGCGCGGCTTGCCACGGCAATCAAAGCCGCTCCAGGTTCACCCATGGCTGCTGCACCTACCGCTACAGCCGCTGCAGTCACAGCTGCTGTTGCGTCCGCGCTAGGCCCTGCAACTATGGCAACTGCAGGGTTGCATCTGCCTGCGCTGCCGCAGCCGACGCCTGCTCCTGTGTACATCGGACAGTTTGCCGATGCGATGCTGAGGAGCAAACAGCTGAAGCACCGATTCCCGTGGGCGTATGAGGTCACTCTGAACTTCCTTAGGATGAACCTCAGGGGTGGACCAGGGGGTGGGCTCAGCGGGGGTGCTGGGTCGTTTAACCTCTCTGGTGCCTCTGCGTCTGCGTCTGCATCTGCCTCTGCGTCTGCTGGGAATGGTGTGCTCGGCCTGGTTGGAGGAACCGGATCGTCGTCTTTCTCATCAGTGGCAGCAGCAGCAGCAGTATCAGACCGTTCGCCGACTGCTGCTGCCACAACCTCGGCTGCTGCGGCTGCTGCTTCCCTGTCCCCTTCATCCTCTTCCCTCTCCTCCACCTCCCCCGCTCCCACGAGCGGCCTGGCAGCACTAGAAGCGCTAGAGCGCGAGTTAGCAGCACATGTGGTGCTCAACCGGTGGCTGGGAATAGGCCTCCCAGGGAGCGGTGTGCGCACAGTGGCGCAGGCAGAGGAGAGGGCAGTGGAGGTGGTAGAACAGATTGCAGACCCGGCGCAGCAGGTGGGATGGGGCGTGTGGCTGCGCGTGGGGCGGCTGCTGGAGAATGAGCAGCCGCAGCTGCCGATGCTGCTGGAAACGATGCAAGTCAAGTCGGTGATGCATACATACGAGGTGAGTGAGCGGGCGGTGTGTGGGAATGGGTTGTGAGATGGTTGTTGGGACGACTCAGGGGCGGAAAGGAGGGGATGCATGTGAAGCCCGTCCCGATGCATGCGTGCGATGCGAGTGGTGTGTGCGAGTGGGTGCGAGGTGTGTGTGAGTGGGTGCGAGGTGTGTGTGAGTGGGTGCGAGGTGTGTGCGAGGCGTGTGCGAGGTGTGTGCGAGGTGTGTCCCCTTCCCATCCCCATCTCCTTGCCCTCCTCCCCTTCTTCTCTCCTCCATCACCTCCCCTGTTCCCCTCTCCTCTCGCTCCCTCCCCACACAGCTCATAGACGTGAACAGAGAGGCAGCAGACTTCCTAGCCCTGGAATCCTTCGATTGGGCCTGCAGGGGCTTCTGGCCTGCTTTAACACTCCTCAAACGTGATTTCCACTCCCTCTCCTTCCTTTCCACCACAGCTCATAGACGTGAACGGAGAAGCAGCAGACTTCCTAGCCCTGGAATTCTTCGATTGGGGCGTGCTGGCCTGCTGGCCTGCTTGCCTGCTGGCCTGCCTCGACCCATCAGAGGTCATCCCCCCCCTCCCCCCTCTGCTCCTTCCTGCCCACCGCAGCTCATAGACGTGAACGGAGAGGCAGCAGACTACCTCGCCCTGGAATCCTTCGACTGGGGCCTGCAGGGCCTACTCGCCTGCCTGGACCCCTCAGACGGGGCGGCGGAGCTGATAGATTTGATCTACCCACTGGACGAGGAGCGCGTGCTGCTGTGCCTCACCATTGCCGCGCGCATGGCTGCCACCCACTCCGTGGGGAGCGGACGGCGATGGCCCACCCGCGATCTGCCCAAGTTTGTCGCCCAGTTGCTGTCCCTGGCTGAGACATGTGAGTGGGTGGGGATGGGAGGGGGAGGGGGGATAGTGGGTGGGGATGGGGGGCCAAAGCTATTGTCATGTGCCATTGCAACGAGGTGACTTCTGAGTCAGCTCAAAAGTTTGTTGCCTAGTTGCTGAGGAGCGTGAGTGTTTGGGGATGGCGGGGAGGGATAATGGGTGGGGATGGCGGGGAGGGATAATGGGTGGGGATGGCGGGCCATAAGCTTAGGCATGTAAAGTGTGTTCTTTGGTGACTTTAAGTCGATTCGTGAGGACCGGGTATGCTCTGTGCTGCTGGGACGGAAGTGGGATGTGTGAGCGGTGGGTGGTGATTCGGTTGCAATGCAGTGGAACGGACGTGTGTGTGCGTGTTGCTTGTTGCATGGCCACTGATGCATGGCCACTGATGCATGGCCACTGATGCATGGCCACTGATGCATGGCCACTGATGCATGGCCACTGATGCATGGCCACTGATGCATGGCCACTGATGCATGGCCACTGATGCATGGCCACTGATGCATGGCCACTGATGCATGGCCACTGATGCATGGCCACTACTGCATGGCCACTGATGCATGGCCACTGATGCATGGCCACTGATGCATGGCCACTACTGCATGGCCACTACTGCATGGCCACTACTGCATGGCCACTACTGCATGGCCACTGCACTCATCTTTGTGCACCAGTGCTCTCATGATGATGATCACGCTCTCTCCTCCCAACCTCGCCCCACCTCCCCTGTCGCCTCTCTCGCATCTCCTCTCCCTGCGTAGAGCAACCCCTTCCAGGTACCAGGGCGCATGGAGAACCAGCCAGCAGATGCCGCGAGCAAACTTCTGAGTCGACTCTAAAGCCTCCCCTGTCTCCCTCCCCAACCTTCCCCCCAATCTCCACGCGCGCCCCCCTGCTGGTACCAGGGCGCATGGAGGGCCAGCAGATGTCGCAAGCAGTGAGCGTGGTCACCCTGCTGTGGGGCTGGGAGCCTTTTGAGACGTCTCAAAAGTCCTCCCTTGATTAACCCCCCGCACCCCCCCGCATCTACGCGCCCCGTTCATGCTACCAGGGCGCATGGAGGGCCAGCAGATGTCGCGAGCAGTGAGCGTGGTTACTCTGCTGTGGGGGTGGGCGCTCCCCAAGAGAGAACAGCTCATGGACCAGTGCGGGGTGAGAGAGAGGCAGGGAGGATGGGATGGGAGGGGGAAAGCTTGCTTTGGGACGTCTCATAAGAGGTTTACTTTCACGGGGCTTGGTGCTCCCAAAGAGGGAGATGGGAGATGGGAGATGGGAGATGGTGCTCATGGACCAGTGCGAGATGGGAGGAAGAGAGGGAGGATGGGAGGGGTGGGGGGAAGAAAGGGAGGGAAAGGGGAAGAGGGGGATAAGGAAAAGGCGGAACTATGCTCCTTGTGTTGGTTCCCAGTCGATAAGGAGATGTTTGGCGTTTTCTCCTGCTTGCTCCCTCCTCGCTCACTGACTCTTGCTCCTTTTCTCGCTCGCTCTCCTTCGGTCGGCCGTTTTTGATTCCGCAGTCTGCCGACGAAGCAAGGGAGGTCATGGAGCGAACTGCATCCTCTATATGGAGGTCCCTTGCACAAGGTACGTAACCCAACAGCACATTCCTTTGCTTTGATTTTGATCTTGATGGTTCAGATGAATCTCATGATAAGCCCACAACGTTCCTTGACATCCCACAACGCTACCTATAAGTCACATATACTGTAGCTGCCACAAAATGTTCTGTCACATACCCTGTTCTCCTTGTTCTCGTTCTCTCCTCCCCTGCGTTCTCAGGAACCCAAAAGTAGCGATTTGAAGGCGACTGGGTCTTCTCCAAGCGTTTTTACGCTGATTTTGTACCTAAGTTGATCAATCAGTTATTTTTTCCCTAAAGGACTGAAGTAATGTAGGATTGCCAGGCATCCGGACTCCGGAGTGGCACCAGCGGTGATTTTTTTTTTAGGTGATTCTTTTTGGGCATCAGAATTTTTGGGGGCGCCAGCGGACTTCATACGGTTCTCTCTCAGGCCTGGATTTTTAGCCATTCCGCAAGTAGCAGAACACCCCGGATAAACGACCCTAACAACAGTTGGCATGGCATATATGTTACATTTTTATATTAGTGTTTTTTGGAAACTAGACAAGTGAATTGAACAGTACGGTATTTGCTAATTTGTAAACAGCAAAACAAATCCGCGGAATGACCCTATCTGTAAGGAATTACAATTCCTTACTGTACTCGCATTTTAGCGAGTACAATCCGAACACCACGCGTCAGCCCGGTTCGGCCTACATTTCCGCCCCGAACCACTTCCGAGTCGCCACCGCTCCAATCGCAACACTTTCCGAGCCATCCTAGCCCGACCCCTTCGCCTAGCTAGGGTTCCCCTTATAAATTCGAGTCACTTTCATTGTATCGTCATTCAGTAGTCAACCATTCTCGTTATTCGTTTTACTGCGCACTCTGCAAGTTCATTCATAACACCTGGTATCAGAGCTACTTTCCTAGCCTACCCCGCTTTTTAGAGTGTATTACCCCTCGGGGGGGGGGGGACGAGGAAGGATGTCTTGGGGTCCAGGAGTTGCGTAGGCCGGCCAAGAGAACTAGTTAGTTGCTCTTCGCGGCGATGTTTTTACGGGCACTCCTTCGGCACCGCCAGATCCTTAGCTCGAACGGTCGCGATCGACCGTGACCTCCCTCCCCCCGGGCAACGGACAGCTCAAGCTGTCGCGACATTGAACGTGGGTTTTTTCCGCTGCGTCGCGACGATTTCGGAGTTATTTTTGTCTGGCAGCTGGCGTTAACGGACCTGCGTCGGCATCTGCACGAAGATTTCGGAGTCGTCGTCTTGTGCGGCAGTTGACGTGGGTCGTCGTCAACTTGCGCGCGACATTTTCGGAGGGTTGCAGCTGTTGACAACAGACGTGCATCACTTTGGGCGATAATTTCGGAACTGTTGAAGAAAAAACAAGGGACACTGTATGGACTCGCCAGGCGCTAAAGTAACTGCGTCGGAAAAAGTATGTGACGAGGAGAGACGCCACGACGACTGCCCGACTATTGCGGGAGTCAACTGCTGTGGACGCAGCGGCTTTTACTACATGGCGGGCGCGTCATTGACGATTTCGGCAGGAGTGCATGTGGACAGACAGGGCTTCATACCCGCCAACACTTACGGGAAGCAACGGAAAACGCGGTGGCTAAATCGCACTTAAGAAGAAGTGGGGCGCAGGCGGCGAGGGCAATTCGAGACTGTACACCTCGGAAAGACTTCGCACGACACTGCGCACCTGGTGCTGTTGACAACTGTTCAAGCTTTTGCGAGAGCGGATTCCCCGTCCGGAAGCTGTTTTCGAGGACAGTCTCAGCGGCCCACGGTTAAACGGCGTCTACGTACCATTCCGCCATTTTCGGAGGAGTGTGGTGCTGGATTCCAGGTCATCCGCGAAGAAACTACCCGACGGCTAAGCGGGGAGGGAGCAGGTTAAAAGCCGGTGGAAACGACCTGCCGCCCTCCGTCGCCCGAACCTCACCATCCCCACCAAGTCTTGGTTCCGGCTCATGCAGCCGACCTGACCTGGCCGAATAACGGGGGTGAACACGTGCCTACCCTGTGCTGGTTAAAGGCACCTGGTTTGGTGCTCGTTCGACAGCTGTACGAAAATACCAAAAAAATGGGAGTTCGCGGCACTGTTCTACTCCGACAAAAGCGGGCTGGGTGAACGGCACGCGAAAAAGTCGGGGAGCTACGACAACATTCGTGCATTTTACCGGTTTCTCCTGACCCGGGCGTCTACTCAATTGACGGCGAAGCTGAGACCGAGAAGTTGCGGTATTACGTGGCGTGATAGGCGCGGTGGGCTGCAAAGCGGTTGGGTGCGAGCTTTTTAAATAAATCTGCCCCGACTCCGATAGCATTTGCGCCTGCACCGTAGCCGGATTATCGCGCGGGGAACTTCAACCTTATACTTCAGCCAGCAGACGCGGACGCTGGGTGAACGGCGATTTCGCGATATTGTCGGGGAGTCGAAAACACCCAAACAAAAAGGAGAGCTACCCTTATACTTCAACCGGCAGACGCGGACGCTGGGTGAACAGCGATTTCGCGATATTGTCGGGGAGTCGAAAACACCCAAACAAAAAGGAGAGCTATCCTTATACTTCAACCGGCAGACGCGGACGCTGGGTGAACGGCGATTTCGCGATATTGTCGGGGAGTCGAAAACACCCAAAAAAAAGGAGAGCTTTACCCTTATACTTCAACCGGCAGACGCGGACGCTGGGTGAACGGTGGTGCGCGATATTGTCGGGGAGTGGAAAACACAAAAAAATGGGAGCAATCGAAGTTTCAAGACTTACCTGCCGACGACTAGCGATGGGTGGCACATCTGCAAAGCGCCGGTGGGAGAAACGTGATGATTTGTTAAGCAGCATCGGCAGGGGCAGTTCGACAACGGGATTGACGGCGTTGAGGCGCGCTATGCTCCGTGAACGACGGTCTCGGAATAACCCAGGGCAAGTCCCCGGTTCCCGATTATACCCGCATGCTGGGTTCGGGTGAACTGACGGAAACTACTGGTGACCGAGTGGGCGGCTACATTACGACCGAAAATTTCGGAGGAGAACTACACCTGCAGCCAAGAATTTACGGGGGTTGCGACACCGACATTTACGGAGTTTTACGGAAGAAATTACCGATTTACGGCGGGAAGTGCCGACATTTTCTTGGGATTTCTTGGCGTTTGGTTAAACGCGCGCGACAGCAACGTGAGGCATTATTACGGGAACTACACGAAGTTTTTCAGGGGTACGAAGGACTTACGACGAACTGAAGAAGGCGGCAGCAACAGTGGAGGAGGGGAGAAACAGCTGTAAATTTTCCGTCTCTGCCCAAGAGTCATCGGCGGATTGCGACAAAACTCTCGGCGAGTATGGACAAACCCGCCGAGTGTGCTGACATCATCTGACACTAAATCGGCGCTCAACAGCGTTTTCGGAGTGAAATTCGCGTTTGGTTACTTCTCCATCGACCTTGGCCGACACTCGTATTCAACTTCGCCTCCAATCGTATTATTCGCCGACATTTTTGTAACACTCCCGATTTTACGGCCAGAAGATTTCGGGACAAGACATCCAGCTCTGCTAACAAAAATTCGCCAAACTCGACCCGCCCACGACAACCGATTCGATTCTGCCTACGTCAGGTGCTGCCCGCTGCAACTGCTGAAGATACTGCATGATTCTGGCGCGTGAAGACAAAATTGCTCAGTTCGAGTAACACAGACTTTCCGTCGCTGTTTCTGGTCTACGTCAACGGATTCGCCCTTTGAAAATTTCTGGGGCACTTAACACCTGGTTTCGTCACCGTATCCCACACCGACGACCCTTCGCCTAGGAATCCGTGCTTTTACGTGCGACTTAACGGCTGGTTTTGTTTGTTTTCTCACCTCGGCGCAGCTGTGAAAGTTTTGTGACAGTTTTTTTTTTGGAGGGGGGAGAAAGTGCGCTGTACTGTTTTCCTTCGGCGTTCTCTCGGCACGATTTCTGACCTTGTCAGAATGCGTCAGCACGACGTACGACTGCGATTGCCTTTAGCGAAATCAATGGTTCCTGTACATCGCGACTGATCACCGCGTCAGCAGGTTCCCCCCACATTCACATCATCGTCCACCGTCAGATCGACTTCAAATTGCATCAACGGCTTCAATTCCAATTTTGAATTCGAATTGGTCAAGACAGCTTGCGACCGTCAGATCAAATTCGAATTTGATCAATGGTCCACATTCCAACCTTCACTCCACGTTGACTAAGGCCATCCGCACCCGTCAGATCGGGATCTCCCTTCATCGACGGTCTACAATCCAACTTTTTCAATTTTAATTGTCCAAGGCATTTCAGCCGTCGGATTCAGCTGAAGAGGAAATCAACGGTACTCTCGCTAATGAAGGCTCCGTCTACATACAGGGAGGCTTTATTTGGAAGGTGGGAGAGTGTAAGGTGTTGGAATAACCGAAAGGTTATAAAGGCATTCCCGAAGTTGTTCCACTGTACCAGTACCGCGTTAGCTCATATAGAGCACGCAGAATGTCGAGGGTTACCCGAAGGTCAACCGTCCAGGATAGTCAACGGTCGTGACCCTTGACGATCCGGTAACCGCGCGACAGTTAACTGACTGCAACATGGTAACTGTCGAGAATAGCAATAGTCGCGGTTACTGTAGCTATGCAATACAGTTAATAAGGGAATGTACCCCTCAGAGTACATGGCTAGTTAGTTGCTATTTAATTCCTTGTACTTCTATCTTTGATCATCGTGTTCTCTTTGAATTATTATTCAACAAGGTCGCCACAGAGACTTCACTGTCTCCCTTCAGGCTTAACACATTCTATCCTATCCACTGATCCTTTGGTTGTATCAGCATGGTATGAGAGCTAGAGTGGATTATAGGATCTGTCAAAGCCCTCGTTCTTCTTAGAACATTCCTTTATAAAAACATTCATTACATCCTAAGGTCTGCAACACTATGGCCCTTGAAGGGAAAGCCACTGCAGATTCACCGGGCCCACCACCAGCAACCACTAACGCGCCATCAGCGGTGACCTCCGTCAGCGCCGCTGTCGTTGAGCAGCTAGTTGCACGCATCAACGCTCTTGAAAGCCATCAGGCTATGAGCATTGATGGCTCAAGCTATGCACGTGGCGTTGCTGGACTTCCTCTCCCTGGAGAAGACCGCCGCGTCAACTCCGAGTGATCCCTCACCTTTGACAATCGTCAAGGGTCAGCTCCTGCACAAGACAACCCACAACG